CGCAGAGTCAGGTGCTCTTGAACGGATGTTAACTATGCTTGAAAGAGTATTAGAACGCACTGCCCAGCCTGTTGGTGATACTCAGCCTCAGTTCTTCCCTTCCAGTCGACCGACTCCATGTCAAGTATGTGGCAACAGTAACCACTCTACACGGACACACTGCATGAGAGAGAGAAGATGCCTGGCCTGTCTCGAGATTGGACATCAGCGAAGAAGCTGTCCAAAATTCCCTAACACTCAGCGAGTTGGAGGCTCTATTGACCAGGGAAACTAAACCACTCACACCTGAGAGGGCACTGTGTGAGTGAGTATGATGAGTCCCTCACCCCAACAGAAGACATAAAGGTTGTGTATACAGAAAGTTTGAAATCTGCTCCAGCCAACACCCATGTGTTGTTTCAAAACATATCCAGACTAGAAAAGGCTGACAGCCTCTTTTACACTGATGCACAGGTTGGGGATAAAGTGTCATTGCAAGCTCTTTTAGACACTGGCTCCATGGCCTGCACTATCAGCGTAGAAGCTGAGCAACTTCTTGAGAATGCAGGGCTTACATCCCAGCCTGATTGTGATCGTAATGACATTATTCTTGTAGGCTGTGGAGGAGTTCAAGTAAAGCCCAAATGCATCCATGATTTAAAAGTGGAAGTATATGGATGTTCATTTATTGTTCCAGCTTTAGTGGTGCCTGGGCAGAAAGATCAGCTGATTTTGGGCACAAATGTCATCAAACACCTCCTAAACCAGTTCAAACATTCTCCTCACTTTTGGCAAGTTATGAGTAAACCAGAGTCTGCCCAAACACCAGAAGTCATAAAGTTTCTTAGTATGCTGTCTGGCACTGAAAGATGGAGAGGTGATGTGATCCCAGATTTTATTGGGACAGCTGAACTGGTGCAGGCAGTCACTCTTCTCCCAAAGCAAGAACATTTGATTTGGAGCAGACTCCCTAAAAACTCGCCTCTCTCCGAGGGCAGTGCCATTCTAGTTGAACCATCACCCAAAACACAGATGCATAAAAAAGACATTATTGTCTGTAGATCAGTGTCCTCCATGAATGGTGATAGGTGGGTCCCAGTGCGCATTCTAAACACCTCTGATAAGGCCATCATATTAAAACGCCATACCAAAGTAGCGGAGGTGTCCACCTGTATAGCCTTTGAAGATATGGATGTGATCCCTGAGCAGGTGCTAGATAAAAAATTCAGTACCAACAATCAGACAGTGAAAGATGACAAAACAATCAGCTCAGATTCTCTCTGCACCAGCTTCCGTGACACTCTGAGTAACTTGGGGTTAGAAGATCTGGACATTGACTCTTGTGAGGTGGGTGATTACTGGAAGTCAAAACTGTTGCAGTTGGTCCAGAAATATGAAGGCATTTTTTCAAGAAGCAAACTTGATTGTGGGCTGGCCAAAGATTTTGTCCACCGCATCCGCCTCTCAGATAATCGACCATTTAGGCTTCCATATCGACGTGTTCCACCAGGGCAGTACCACAAGCTGCGACAAGTTCTCACAGAGATGGAAGAACGGGAAATCATTCGCAAATCTAACAGTGAGTGGGCGTCTCCTGTCGTGCTGGTCTGGAAGAGGAATGGAGATCTTAGGATCTGTGTGGACTATCGTTGGCTAAATGCTCGTACAGTTAAGGACGCTCACCCGTTGCCACACCAGTCAGACTGTTTGACGGCTTTGGGTGGCAGTGCCATATTCTGTGCCATGGACCTCACTTCTGGTTTTTATAACATAGCCATGGCTGAAGATGATAAAAAACTAACAGCCTTCACCACACCCATGGGGTTGTATGAGTTTAACAGGCTGCCTCAGGGCCTCTGTAATAGTCCTGCCAACTTCATGCGCCTCATGATGAACATCTTTGGGGATCAGAACTTTTTGACCCTGCTTTGTTATTTGGACGATTTGCTTGTTTATGCTCCCGATGAGGCAGAAGCTCTGAGGAGGCTNGTCCGTTTCCGACAATTTGTGGCACGACAAACGCGGACAAGCACGGGTTGCAAATTGTTTGGAACTGCTGAAAATCAGGCAGATCTGCGGGAGTTTACGGGGGTTTACGGGGACGAAAATCTCACTTTTCATGCAGTGTAAAATGCGGCTTCGCTCCTCGCTCTGGAGGAAAGCTCTTCCTAGAACTAATGAGTTTGTGATCTGTAAAATGCAATTAGAAAAAAAATGCCATTCATAAAACTTCATTAAAAAAAAGAAATTTGAAGAAAAAAGAAGAATTTTGAAAATTTGAAATCTTTTTTAAAAATGGATAAAATGAAATGTCCATTTACCAAAAAAATGTCTTTCCTTGCCAAGATAATGGAACTAAATTCACTCCATAGAACACAGCTCACAGATAATATATTGAGCAGCTTTTTAAAGCAGACCTGGTTTTAAAATAGTATTCCACCATCAAAAAATGTAGAGAAACTTTATAATTCCTCATCTGGAAAGAAACAGGAGTACGGCGCAGCTCCGAGACCTGGGGGCCGACTAAATCAAGAAGAGCATTATTCTCTGAAGCAGACGAAAAGCCCGTGGGAACTCTAGAGGAGCTGCGGAGATTAGGGAGCTCTGTTTTTGAGAGAGCGACGAGACGTTAACTATTCTGCTTTGCCACAATAAATGTCAGGGACGAAGGCCCTTGTTAAAGTTGACCTACAGTACAGGGGCCATAAGAGGGACACCGAACCAGTGTGAACAGAGCGGCACCATCATGGTATGGGGATGTCTTTTAGCAGGAACAGAAAAGCTGATGAGGTTTGGAGAGAAGATACGTGGAGCTCTTGGAAACAAAGTCCAGCAGATTGTTTTTTCACTTTTTTGGAATAACTATGACCTGGATAACTGAGAATCTTCAACAGCATACATGGACCTAAAAATATACTTTAATCATAGATGAGATATGTTAGAGATCGATGTGGAGGTTCTTTTGCAAGATACACGTGGTTAAATGAGTTGAACCCTGAAAAAAAAATCACAAGACCTTTAATGCAATGTTTTAGAACAAAAATTTACATTTTTTAGAAGTCAAAGTTTGAGGCTACATTTATTGAGAAGATAGAGAAAAATTTGAAAATGGCAGCCTACATACCCTCAGCATTCAGTGTGACTGAGGTTAAGCTACTTTGTAAGGAAATAACTGACATAAATATAAGTGTGCAAACCTGGTAGAGAGCAACTTCCAACTGTAACTGCAGCAGAGAGTGAACCCACAAAGTATTGATAGTGGGTTGAATACATATGCATCCCATATGATTCAGATTCAAACAGCTTAAAACATAATTTTTTTTTCTCCCACTTCATAATTATGCACCAGTTGGTTTAAAACACATGAGGAATAACTCCCAGTTAATCATCAAGGTCAGGCACCCCTGACACCGTCGAGGGCCGCTGTCCTGCAGGTTTTATAGGTTTCCCTGCTTCAGCACAGCTGATTTACATTAATAGTTGATTAACAGGCTTTTGCTGAACTGCAATCATCAGAATCAGCTGTGCTAAAGCAAAGAAACCTCTAAAACCTGCAGGACAGCGACCCACAAGGACCGTATTGGGGATGCCTAATCAAGGTGATTTTGTCAAAGCGCATCACTGGGCTCAAGATGAGCAACTTACCAATGCCTAAGCCCACTGTGATCCTGCCAACAAGGAGGACCTCTTTGTTCTGGGCCACGCTCAGAATAATTCCGCCGCCGCTGAAGATGAAGCTGGCGATGAGGATGCAAATCCTGCGTCCCAGCCACCCGTTCAGGAAGCCCCCGCTGAGGGCAGAGAGCGCCGCGGCCCCCACCGTGCTGGACACCAGCAGCTCCTGCCACAGGGCGCTCAGGTGCATCTCCTTCTTGAGGAGGAGCATCGCTCCAGAGACCACGCCCGTGTCATACCCGAAGAGGAATCCTCCCAGGGCGGAGAAAAACGCCAACAAATAGACGAAGTACGGAGTAGAGGCGTCTCGGCCCTGGAGGTTCTCCCCGGAGGGAGGTCCAATGAGACTCCGCTCTCCATCCTCCGAAGCTTTCTGCCTCCTGCTGCCTGTGCGGTTACTCATCTGCTTCAGGGTGGAGTCATTGAGGTTGCTGAACATGGGAGAAAGCCGGTGTTACAAATACATTTGTGACCCTTCTTATATTGTGTAGTCTCCTCACCTTTCTGTTATCTACAAAATGCTCAGGAGTCACACGCGATCCTAATATCTCAACCATTACCACAACTAACATCTAACCTAATGAAGTCTGTGGTGAAACACATGTACTTCCCCTTAGGTCACCATATATGATAGGTCACAGATTTTAACAATATTTAAAGTGGCCAGGTGACATATAAGGAAGTGGAAATAACAGACAATGGAGTAAATCATTAGTTAAAGACAGTATTGCTTTGACGTACACTGTTTAAGCGAATAAAGATAACATTAATGCAACAGTTGCTATAATCCATTTTTTTATGTCTATAGTCTGTCAGGATGAGAAAGCTGCTACCTGGTTAACAGACTTATAGTCTGTGGTCCCGCGATTTAACCTGATTGCTGTTTTAGCTCAATATTCTGTCACCGCAGGGGCCACCAGTCACCTCTATAGAAAACAACAAAGAGGAATTCAGCAATAAAACTATCGGAACACATTGGTTTGTTTACCCTCTGATGGGTCCATGGGAGCCGCCATGTTTACGTGACGTAAGCAGCCTGACTCCGCTGGAAAAAATTACCGAAATTATCATAAAAGCATACCCAAACTTACACTATTTCTAAAACAGTGGTCTACATTTCAATTTCTATGGGTTAAGAAATTCTTAACTGTAATGAAATACGTTTCATATTATATATTTAATTTTTTTTAGGGCCGTTTAATATCAGAATATAAACTAGTACTTGTTCAGATGCAGAGCGACAGGCACTTCAAATTAAGGCGTGAAGGGAAAATATTTAGGAGTAAAAATGTTAGTTAAAAAAAAAAAGTCGATTTGATGGGAAGAATTTATAATTCAAAATCTGAAATCGTCTTAAATCCGTTTATAAGTCAAAGCTAAATGTTAAAATAGCGTGTTAAATAGCTTGATTATATTATCTATCAATATAATTGTTATTAAAATCCTTGCAAATAAACCACTATAAGTTTAAACGCTGTGTGTATGCCACTCACAATATGGCGTCTATATTGACGTAGGGTCCCGGACTCTCGTTCCTCGTCCTTTTTTTTTTAACCACCCTGCCTGACTTCAAACACAAATCAAAGCGAAGTGGAGGGAGCCCCGGTTCTCTTACAGTCGCTTCCTGACTCAACACAAAAACCACGTTTAACTTTAAAAACTTCTTATTTAGACTAAAAAACACCATATTGTGACACTATGTCAACATCCGCAAACGTAGGCTACAGTCGGCCAGGTTACCCCCCGCGGTTATTTTCCAAAAAGTGTATGAAATGCAAAAATACCCTAGAATGATTTAAATTATTATGATCACAATTCTGTGATTCTATTCTTCTGTTTTAAGGTTATAATTCTAATACATCAGTAGTTGAATTTAACAGATCCTGATTCGCTGCACAAACAAGTCCTCATCCTACCTCCAATCAGTTGCTTTCTTGATTTTCTTTTTGCTTCAGATCTTCTTTTGCTGCCTAGAATTCATGTTCTAATTAAATGTTGCAATTTAAATCCACTTACTTCCTTAAAACCGTCTTAAAATGTTTTTCTACACACCATTACCTCCAATGTGAGCATGTAGCCTGTGTGGGATCATATGACATTAAAGGAAAAGGAGGAACAAACCCGTCCGGGTTCTGCCTCCCCAACCTGTTTGTCTGGAGTATCACAAAGCAATCAACTATTTTACAATTAAAAGTTTCACAGACAGACCGACTGACATGTTACGACCCGTAACTGGGTTGTCTTTGCGTTCATTCTTTCTTTAAATCTATATATTTTTGGGGGAAAAACGTTTTTTGTGTGGTTATATCGGAATAAATCTCGAAGTACTAGGAATATCTTTACTTTTAAATTTGATTAATTTATAAAATCTTGTTACTTATTTCCTTCTCAATAAATCTGTGGTAATTTCATTGCCTAAAATTGTTTTTTTATTTTGAAATGGTCAAAACATCTGGAAAGTATGGAAGACAAACTTAACATATAATTAGTGTATACATGTACCAGGAATTCAGCAAATACATAAACATTAACTGCAATTAAATTGTACTATGATACATAAAAGTTTATAACTACCCCATTTTCATTACAATATTTTTTTTATAAATATTTTTGTATGCTTTAATATTTTGACTCTTATGTATAGGTATTGATTTTTGTTTTAAACTATTATTATTTTTCAACTCATTTGATTTTAACCCATGGGTGGTTCTAGATAGGGGCCAACAGGTGCCCGTAACCCCTATAGAACTGGTTCAGAGGTGTAGCCAGAAAATCCTAGTAGGGGTGGCCAGTCAATAACCAATGTACATTGAGGGGTGGCTGAAAGGCAGAACCTCAGGTTCAATCTACACTGTTCCAACAGGAACAAGTACAACATCCGTATTTTCTAAATAAAGACAAACTATGTTTTCCTGCAGCCTTTGCTAACAAATAGGTGGATATATTTAAACATCTATGCTGTGTAAATAAAAGGTATAGTGGACAAAATTATTTTAGGTTTGAGTTCTGGGGCAAACATATTTCATTACCTACTTTTATCAATAATCATTCTGCAAAAAAATGATATGTAAATCTACTAATATCCACATTTAATGAATGTTTAAGTTATTATTAAAGTAGTTATTCATCTCTGATTTCACTGAAGACTCCTAGATGACTTGCAGAGGCACATAATTCTATCTTTACCCCAAATAATTAAAAAATTAGTTTTTAAAAGAGCAGAAATTCTGGATCTATCATCTTTAATGTTTGGATATTGATGTGCATAATTAACCACACTGTATCTGTAACTGAGTTAATTAGATTATTTTATTTGATGAACCTTCTCAAAACACCTTTTTTTGATTAATATAAATGTTTATTGTTATTTCTGTTTTATACTGCTTTTATTTAAAATTATTTATGTTTCAAACTCATTTTTCTTTGTTTTTCTTGGGTTCTGTATGATATTTTATTTTGGAGGANCTTAGCTCATAATTCGTAAATATATTGTTGATTAGCTGTTTTGTGCAGCACAGTACTGGCAGTTACATTCCCACAGTAGTAACTTTTGTTGAGGTTACTGTGGCAACCTGGTTATTTCTGTTATTTTGGTTTGTTAAGGTGCATGTGGGAAACTGGAGCCCAGAGTTGCTGTGCTGAATATGTTCTTGTTCTAAACAGGTATGTGAGTAATTCAAAATGTTATTTGGATGTCAAATTTATTTATTTAGTATGTTTTCATATTATATCGGAGAATTGTAATGATTGGGCAGATTATTTTTGTTTGGGTTTTATTTTGTTTTGTATGCAGATTTTACATAATTATCATTTAATTATTATAAATGAGAAATATTATTTTTATTATTATTATTATTATAATTAATTCATTTTATTATTATTTAACCTCTGTGAGAATTTTGGTTTGTTTTAATGCATTTTGAGTTCGCGCCAAGCTGCGCTGAGGAGAGGTGCATGTGGGAAACTGGAGCCCAGAGTTGCTGTGCTGAATATGTTCTTGTTCTAAACAGGTATGTGAGTAATTCAAAATGTTATTTGGATGTCAAATTTATTTATTTAGTATATTTTCATATTATATCGGAGAATTGTAATGATTGGGCAGATTATTTTTGATTGGGTTTTATTTTGTTTTGTATGCAGATTTTACATAATTATCATTTAATTATTATAAATGAGAAATATTATTTTTATTATTATTATTATTATAATTAATTCATTTTATTATTATTTAACCTCTGTGAGAATTTTGGTTTGTTTTAATGCATTTTGAGTTCGCGCCAAGCTGCGCTGAGGAGAGGTGCATGTGGGAAACTGGAGCCCAGAGTTGCTGTGCTGAATATGTTCTTGTTCTAAACAGAAATAAACCGAAGCAAGTCTGATCTCTTCGACTCTTCATTCCACGACTGTTACATATCTATTGTCGTGTTTTTGTTAATATATGAAAAATTTTAATGTTTAATAAGTTTAAACATTCTCCTTCTGGCTTCTCTAAAGTCTCCTTAGGTGTGAGTGTGTGTGTGTGAATGGTTGTTCGTCCTGTGTGTCTCTGTGTTGCCCTGCAATGGACTGGCGACCTGCCCAGGGTGTATCCCTCCTCTCGCCTGTAGACAGCTGGAGATAGGCACCAGCACCCCTCGTGACCCCACTTGGGATAAGCGTCTAAGAAAATGGATGGATGGATTCTCCTTCTACTGCTGCCACCGTCTGTATTAGAGAGAAAAAATGGTAGGGGTGGCCACAGGGGTGGCCAGTGATTGGCTAAGGGTGGCCATGGCCACCCCCATCTAGCTCCGCCCTGGCTGAGGTGGGTTATAAGTTGCAGCATTTCGAGTCAGCTGCAACATGTCAATGAGAATGTTGTCTGGATGGAGGCAACAGGTAGTGCTTTTATTTTGATAAGTATTTTCAGATACCCAACACTTAAAAGAGAAAATGTATTTTTTTCCTGAAATGCCCTACTGTAAACTTAACTTACTCCCATGTTCAGTAGGCACTGACATCGCCATGATCTTTATTATGATACCAAAAGCTGATGAAACGAAAAAGGTCAATTTAACTCCCTATATATCTCAATTTCACTATGACAGAATTAAAGTTTATACGTATTCACTAGACTAAACAAAATAAAAAGTAGCAGTATTTTAAAACTTAGCAAAGCAGAAACGAAATATACTAAGATATAGTAAGTATAGTTATAAATAAAATACTGTGGTTAGAAATAAAAGAAGGGATATTTATGTCAAAAGTGAGAATTATTTTAATGAAGAAGAAGAACTAAAAAAAAGCAATCAGTTAGCAGAAATAAAAAATGGCAGATAAAGATAAAGGCAATGGTGTACAAAACACACTGGATGAAAAGAAAATAAGAAACTGTTTTTTGATCAGATTAATAACCTGTACAGCTAATTGCATGGCTGTACAAACTGATTTGGTCAGTTGAGATCAGGGAAAATGATCCAACAGCAGCTGGGAGGAAGGATCTGTGGAAAGGCTTCTTTGTGTATTTAAGGGGCAACAGTTTTGCTGTTGACATGACTACTTAAAGCCATGGTGTCAAATTTGTTTGTTTTGTCTTATCCAGCTAAACAGTTTGTACATCTTCATCTTCCACGCCCTCTTATGGTGTTGGAGATGAGGCACAATTGTAAAGGAAGATGAGAAAATAAGTTTATGTGAAATAAATGTAAAAAAAAAAAAAAAAAAAGTCTTTTTTACCACAAACATTTTGAGTCTGATGTTAAGCTGAAGGTTAAATAGCATTTTTTTTACCCTCCTCTTCCTCCTCACAGATCCTGTTGTCTCAATATAACTGAGCTCCCAGCCTGGAGCACCTCATTATGCCCTGATCCACTGGTTGGACAAACCTGGGCCCTGAACAGCCAGTGACCTTCAATCATCATAGGTACAGATAGGTGACTGCATGTGCTTGATCATCCTGTACGTTTAAAAGGGTTTCCAGAGGTCCTTAAAATTCTTAAAGGCTTTTAAATTTTGAAAAATAAAACAACAACAACAAAAAAAAAACAATTGAAGGCCTTG